GTATGTTTTTCTATTTCACAATTTCAGTTTAATTTGTTGTGGCTTGTTAGTTTATCATGCTAATAGCTTAACTTAATTTATCATGCTATGAGTTTTAACTGCCTTTTATATCATGTAGATTCTTGCGCAAATTGAAATGTTATGTTCGTAATAGATGTCGACCTGAAGGATCTATTGCAGAAGGGTATATTGTTGACGAAAGTTTAATATTTTGTTCAAGGTATTTACATGGAAGTGGGAAAAGGTATAATCCAGTGGACAAAAATTATGAAGGTGATCATGCTGAGTCATGCAATGGATTATCAATATTTAAGCAAAAGGGTTGCCCTTTATTAAGCGATACATCTAGAATTCTTGAAGAGGTTGAGCGAAAACAAGCGCATCTTTATGTTTTGAGAAATTGTGAAGAAGTTCAACCATTTCTACGGTATTGTTTTTCTTTATGCTATTGTTTCTACAATAACATCCAAGCATTTATAAGAGTTTGAGTTAGAAGTGTTCGACCATAAAAGTTCTTTTTGGTATTGTCCAGTGAAGATAAGCACATGATTTGTTGTTTATGATCTTTGTTTAAATCTCATCAAGTAAATCTTTCCGATTCATATTGGTTACAACTCTTTTTGATGATTTTTTGTGGCTATAATCATCTTGGTGAAAATGCCTTAGTAAGAACTTTATCAGTCAAGGAATCTACTGTAACGTGCACATTAGATATGTAGCATGTATTTTCCAATTTCCCTGTTAAAAAGTTTCCTTTGGGTCTGTATGGTAATAATCAAATCATTACCTAAAAGAAAATGTCAAACTCTTCTCGTGCTTTTTTTTTCTCCGAACACTTTCCTAAAAATACATGTTGATATATCATTTGGCGTCTTTCGTGTTTTTTCTTTTTGTTATCCCTAGACTTCTATTACTACTTATTGTTGTCTTTTATTTTCGATTTTTTGATTGCATTACCTACTACTAGTTTTGTATTTTGCTTCGGTTGTCAGATTAGTTTGCTTGTTATTGTCCCCCCTCCCTCAGCCGAGGGTCTACCGGGAACATCCTATTTGCCTTCTTAAAGGCATGGGTAAGGTCAGCGTATACTTTACCCTTCAGACCCCACTTGTGGGACTACACTGGGCATATTGTTGTTATTGTTTCTTTATGGTATTATATATTGTGAATTTAATTTTGTTAGCCCTTTCTCATTATTATGATTATTTTAAATAGTGAGTACGAGCAGAACAATAGGAACATGAACTTTGATGATTGGTTTTTCCATCGAGTAAGTTTTCATTGTATTTTTAATGTTATTTATAATACTTCTTTAGCATCATTATTTTATTAGTTATTTTTATGTAGATCGTGCAAATGCGCAAGAAAAACAATTCTCATGCAAGTCGCGGGTTGTATTCTTTGGCTAGAGGTCCTTTTGATGGAGTCCAAAGATTCAAAGGGTATGAAATAAATGGTTTTAGGTTTCATACTAAACAATTGGAAGGAAATAGAGTAAAACAAAATAGTGGTGTTTTAGTACGAGGAATAATGAATGGTCAAAATATAGATTATTATGGTGTTCTGACTGAAATAGTAAACTTCAATACCTTGAAGGCAAACGAATTGTTTTATTTAAATTTGATTGGATGGATGTTGATCACATTGGGAAAGGAGTGAAGATAGATAAACATGGCGTTGTTAGTGTTAATACTAACCGAAAGCTAGCAACAAATGAACCATTTGTACTTGCATCTCAAGTAGAACAAGTTTTTTATGTCAAGGATAATCTTCATCCGAATTGGTCCATTGTCTTGAATGGTCATTCTACTTATTTTACGGGTGGTGCTGTCAGAGAAGAAACTTTTCAACAAGATGCTCAAAATTTCTCATGTACATTTGAGGAAGATGAAGACTTTATAAATTGGAGAAGAAATGATCTCGATGTTATCAGTACTGATGTTACCTTAGCTGATAATATTATTGAAGACATCGAATC